TCAAAGAACCCTAAGAATTCATTTTTTGTTAAAATCAAACTTAGTTTAATTTTGGACCCTTTGGACCTTAATGTAGACCAATTTGAAAACGGAACCAAAAATTAAGAATCTAAATACACGGTTAGATTCGGCATATCAAAGAACCCCAATAATTCAATTTTTGATGAAATCAAACAAAGTTTAATTTTGGACCCTTTGGACCTCAATGTGGACCAATTTAAAAACGGGGCCCAAAATCCAAAAACTTAATACACGGTTAGATTCAGCATATTAAAGAACCCCAAGAATTCAAGAATAAAACCCCATTGAAATTGGTCAAGAAATAAGCAATTTATACAAAGTATCTTCTTTTGCACAATACTGTGCAATTGAATATTTCTTGCTATTGCGCAATACTGCACAATTGACAATTTCTTGCTATTGCACAATATTGTGCTATTGGATATTTCTTGCTATTGCGCAATACTGTGCAATTGAAGATTTCTTGCTATTGCGCAATACTGTGCAATTGAAGATTTCTTGCTATTGTACAATACTGTGCAATTGAAAATTTCTTGCTATTGCACAATACTTATTATATAATAATTTACACATCCTGTTTGGTGTGTATCTCCTACCATATCATTATTATTTGCTTTTAAATATAAATCAGAAATCACCAACTAAAAATGGAAAATTTTAAAAGAAAAAAAAAAAAAAAAAAAAAAAAAAATACCCCCCCCCCCCCAAATTTTTTGAACCCCCTTATGATTCATCACCCCAAAACTCAATCCCAGCCTTCCCTTTGTGGTATGGTACCTTGCAGTACAATTTCAGAGATATCCATACACTTGAACACAAGTTATTGTCTGGAAACTAGAAAAATGTGTTTTTTGGCCCCTTTTTGGCCCCCAATTCCTAAACGTTTCGGGCAATTACCCCCAAACTCAATTCCAGCTTTCCCTTTGTGATATGGAACCTTGTAGTACAATTTCAGAAATATCCAAACACTTACACACAAGTTATTGTCATGAAACTAGAAAAATGCTTGTTTTTTGCCCCTTTTTTGGCCCCTAATTCCTAAAATTTTGAGGCAATAACCCCTAAAATCAATCCCAGCATTCCCTGTGTGATATGGAACCTTGTGGTACAATTTCAGAGAGATCCATACACTTGAACACAAGTTATTGTCTGGAAACTAGAAAAATGCTTATTTTTGGCCCCTAATTCCTAAAATTTTGAGGCAATAACCCCTTAAATCAATCCCAGCATTCCCTGTGTGATATGGAACCTTGTGGTACAATTTCAGAGAGATCCATACACTTGAACACAAGTTATTGTCTGGAAACTAGAAAAATGCTTATTTTTGGCCCCTTTTTGGCCCCTAATTCCTAAACCTTTCAGGCAATTACCCCCAAACTCAATTCCAGCTTTCCCTTTGTGATATGGAACCTTGTAGTACAATTTCAGAAAGATCCATACACTTACACACAAGTTATTGTCATGAAACTAGAAAAATGCTTGTTTTTTGCCCCTTTTTTGGCCCCTAATTCCTAATATTTTGAGGCAATTACCCCCAAAATCAATCCCAGCATTCCCTTTGTGATATGGAACCTTGTGGTACAATGTCAGAGAGATCCATATACTAACACACAAGTTATGTCTGGAAGTTACACAAATGCTTATTTTTGGCCCCTAATTCCTTAACTGTTGGTACCATAACCCCCAAAATCAATCCCAACCTTCCTTTTGTGGTATTGAACCTTATGGTAAAATTTCATAGAGATCCATTCACTTAAACTAAAGTTAGAGTGCGAAAACCAATGTGTCTTCGGACGACGCCGGACGACGCCAGACGACGACGACGACGACGCCAACGTCATACCAATATACGACCGCAAAAATTTTTGCGGTCGTATAAAAACATGTCGTTCTGTATGGGTATAGTTTTCGGATCTTTCATTAGCGTATTTAAGGCTATAAAAAGTTTGGGCTTCAAAAGTTCACACAATTATTGACTTTATACAGAAAATTCGTCCTTGTAAAACATTTAATAGTTCACAAATGATACGCGATTTTAAAGTAAAATTATTTCTTAAAACACTGCAAAAAATTTCATTCATATTGATAAAGTGGTATCGTCATAAAGTGCGTTGAAATGAACAGTGGTATGGCAAACATCGAATTCCCTCACAAAATGTTATCACACACTACAGTAAGGGGAGTCAGTTAAGTTTGTCTATTTTTAGATACTATACAGGTAATCTTTTGACACTACGTATACAACCTGTGTGACCTGTGTAGTGATTTTGATTTTACGATAAATTCATGAATGAACGATAATTTTATGAATGAACATGAGCACCTGACCTCTTTCTTAAACACCTATTAAACATATAAAACCGTATTTAATAAGGAGATAATTCAGTCAAATTTTCAGTACTAAATCAACAACTGAAATGATTCCATTTTTTGATGAAACATCGTACGAACGGAGAACGGAATCGCAGGTATAAAAATGCACTTTTTTTCCTTTGTAATGACCGCGGATCTACAATTTTTATAGATCGGTTGAAATCCCAAAACTAATTTGCATAATGGAAATTTAGGCAATAGCAATACATCGGAGTGACCTCAAGGTCATCCTCTGTAAAAATCAATTTACTCTGGAATAATGATTAAATACTAGTACAGCATGCGCAAATACAATCAATTTACTCTGGAATGATTAAATACTAGTACAGCAAATACCCTGGAATGTTTAAATACTAGAACAGCAAATAAAATCAATTTACTGTGGAATGATTAAATACTAGTACAGCAAATACCCTGGAATGTTTAAATACTAGAACAGCAAATAAAATCATAGTATTACAGTCCAGTTTCCACCAGCTGTCTTCCAACGTTTAAAGGTATAATTACAGAATAACATTGAAAACAAAATTCTAGACCATTTTGAAACATTTCGAATGAATTAAAGACTGAATATTAACTCCCATGTATTTCCTTTTCCTACTGTCAAAATTATATATATATATATATATATATATATATATAAAAGTCTTAAGATTTGCGCAACCGGTACTAATATAAGAAGGTAATATACGAAGATGATGTTATAAAATCGTGTTGACGAATATTTCGGCCTTCGTCTACTTGTTTGTGTAAAATAGCTCAGTTATACAGGTAAGTTTTGGACTATTGATTTAATCCCAAATCTTGAACCTCATCAAATAAATCAAAACTCAATACTCTATAAACGTGGCTGCGTATCTATACATCCCAAATTGTCAAAATGCAGTAGTTTGCATAAAAGTATATACAATAAAAGTAGAGGCCTCTCTATCAAACTGCTAGTATTTCCTGTTGATGCCGTTTGGATGAAATACAAATCCAGAAACTTTGCCGAACCTGTCGCTGGGTACCACTCCTGTGAATATTCTGTTCAATCACTAGGATTTTATGCGGTTAAAGTCATCAAGTTTATGATCCGACAGCCTGGAATGCTCCTCCCAGTTAGCCAGCATTTCATGTAACCGGAGAGCATGATTCTTTTTACAAAATCGCTTGTCTCCTCCGGGACTCGAACCCTGGACCTTTGTGTTACAAGGCAGCGCGTCAACCGACTGAGCTAAAGAAGTACTTCCTTAGCTCTTCCGCTTACGGCTTGCTAAGTATCTACTAATGAAGGGAAGCATTCCCGTCACACTTCCCCCACCTTAAGAGTCATCATACCAATATGACTCTCACACACATATCCTAGCTAGATATCCTCTCTAACTACCGTGGGTTCTTTTAGTTAGGCGCAAAATGTAACTGGAGATATGAATAAGAAGATGTGGTATGAGTACCAATGAGACAACTCTCCATCCAAGTCACAATGTATAAAAAGTAAACAATTATAGGTCAAAGTACGGCCTTCAACACGGAGCCTTGGCTCACACCGAACAGCAAGCTATAAAGGGCCCCAAAATGACTAGTGTAAAACAATTCAAACAGGAAAAACAACGGTCTAATCTACTTAGTATATAAAAAAACGAGAAACGAGAAACACTTATGAACCACACCAACAGACGACAACCACTGAACAACAGGCTACTGACTTAGGACAGGTGCATACAAGTGTAGCGGGTTTAAACGTTTTAACAGGCACCAACCTTCACCCTAACCTGAAACATTAGTGTAACATTAAAACATAAAAAGACACACTATAAAATATCAATTGAAATGGCTTAACTCGATCAAAAAGACATAATCAAAAACAAGTAAACATACACTGAACGAATAAGTTTGATCTATGACACAATATAGATACAATATTAATAAAAAAGATGTAGGAACAATGTCAAAAAGACAACTCTAACCTGGGACAAAATGGCGTTAAATAAAATAACGTACACAGGTAAATTTAAATATAAAAATTTTGTTGTTAGGAGTGCGGAAACATGTTTTACAAAATAAGTTATTCACGGTACGAGTATAGAAGTGGAAATTTATCGTCATACTAAATACTTATCAAAGGTGGTACATATTAAAAATAGTGAGACGAGATATAACACAAAATAAGTAAACATTGAATAACAGAAATGCATTACAAATTAGATAACTTTTACTAATAAGTTTGTTTAAAGAGAGCATGATTCGTTTTACAAAATCGCTTGTCTCCTCCGGGACTTGAACCCGGGACCTTTGTGTAACAAGGCAGCGCGTTAACCGACTAAGCTAAAGAAGTATTTCGTTAGCTCAACCGCTTACGGCTGACTATCTATCTACTAATGAAGGGACGCAATCCCGTCACATACAGAACAATACATAATATTGGACACTGTAAGGCCTTTCACAATGAACAAATATCTTTTGAAAGCGCATCTTCTTTTGAAAACATATAGAAGTTGGCCTTTTTCTTTTGTGATACGTTTTGTTCATCATACTAAGAACTACAAAGTTTATATAGTCTAAAATAAAACAATTCTGCCAATTTATATGGAGAAATTTAATTGTCATAATTTATATTTTCACAGGGAATATATACAACGGAAAGGGAAAGTTACAAGTTCAAAGTTATATTTCTGCTATCAAGGAATTTAGCAAAAAGTACCCAATACGAACAATTTGTGAAATCGGATTTGCCGGAGGACATAGTGCAACACTTTTTCTGCATTCAACAGATTCTGCCAGTTACACAGCGTTTGATATGTGGGATCGAGCTGAGTATGAAGACTCTGCAATTGACTGGTTAAGGAAAAGATTCATTGACCGTCATATTGCACTTGTGAAAGGTGATTCTACAAAAACCGTCCCTCAGTTTGAGGGAAAATGTGATCTGATACATATAGACGGTGCCCACCATGCTCACTTTCCTGAGACAGATATGAAAAATATGGCAAGAGTTGCCTCTGTCAATAACCTATTGCTGTTGGATGATTGTTCTAAATCTTGGCCTGCGGTGCTGAAAGGTGTGGACTACCTAAAGAAAAACGATTTAGTACATGACATTAAAATGCATGTTCCAGAAGGTTGGATTTACAGAGGAGCTCAAAAGGGTTGGTGCATTGGCAGCTATAAAGTTAAAGCCCAAACTAGTAATACCGCTCCTGAAAATTACTTGCCGAGGAGTATAACTTTCTTAGACCAAACATTTTGTACACCACCTTGGCATGGAGATAGATGTGAAGTTTACGCCAGCAAGCAATGTTCGCAATGGAATGACGAGTGTTTCTATAGCAACGTAACTGGTACTTTGTTAGTCTCTTGTGAACGATGGCGTGGTGCTCAAATCGTCGAAAGGGTAACCTGGGATAAACGAGAAACTGACACAGATCGGAACGAGGCTCATGCTAACTCGTTTAATTTCTACAAATCTTTGCCACACAATTTAGGCGATATCATCGAGCTTGGTGCAGGTCCCTTCACACAGTCAAAGACGATACTTAAAGACAAGAATGCAACCAGTATAACGTTGGTAGAACCGATGGCATTCCATTATATGACGCACGTTAAACATTGCTTTTACAAAAATGGTACTTTTAAGAATTTACCGACTACTTTGTTATCTATACCGGCCGAAGAACTTAATAATACCCGGAAATTTGATTCTCTTGTCATGATTAATGTGATTGAACATGTTTATGATGCATTATCTATACTTAATTCAGCCATTAATTTGATTAAAGAAAATGGATTGTTTATTTGGCATGAACGACTTTGGGATAATTACCGAGGTGTAGCAACCCCACCGGGTAACGATCGTGAATTTCAGTTGCACCCAATTCGTATAAAAACTGTGATTGCAAAACGCATCATGTCTATGTTTGAGGAAGTGTATGTTTCTTGGGACACCGAGGAGTTACGTCGACTGAAGAATCAAGGCGTATATTTCATTGGCCGCAGACGTAAAATCGTGGCAAAAACCACCATCCCACAACATCCTGGTTGCTTTGAGCGAAGTAATGGCAAACAAACTGTAATATTTTTTGTTTCTAATGTTAATTCTACATTTTTACAAAGTCAGCTAATGATGGTCAATAATTTTGACAATACAAAATCAATAATAATCATACAAACCGATAATTTTGGCGCGAAAGCGAAAGCAGACATTTTGAAATTTAGTAAAATCAGAATAATGATCTCTCATCAACATTTACAAAACTGGAGAAAGGAAGTTAGTTACTATGTTGAGCCATGCATGTTTATTTATCCTCTTGTGACTTCTGCTATGCTAGACGGAGCTGATACGCTTTGTGTGGGAAATAGTGGTGACTCTGTTGTTCTTATGGGGTACAGTACTCAACTAAAAGGTACCCAACTATGACGCCATCTTACCTGCTTACTCCAAGTTTCAGATAATAGACCAAATTATATTAATATGGAATAACAAAAACGCATCATTTAAACCAAATATTGATTTACCAAAACTTACTTTCATTCAACCGGATGTAAACAGCATGAACAACCGTTTTAATGTGTCTCAGTATATTCGTACAGATGCCGTCATGGTTATTGATGACGATGTCCTAATTAGTGAAGCATTGCTGTCGTTGATGTTATTACGATGGAGTGAAAATACGAACAGATTGGTGGGCATCAGCAGAGATATGCGTTATGTCAATTCGATGAATGAATACGTTGCTAGGGGCAGGAATCCATCTTTAACTATCGGTAAAACCATGCTGTTTCACCGTAAATATTTAGTGAAATATATGCAAAATAAAAAACTCGTTGATTGGAATAGCAAAAGATACTGCGAAGATATCTCAATGAATGCGTTGATTTTTAAATAAATAAACTTGAGACCTTTATTTGTACCGATGTCTGTGCAAGCTTCACGCAAAGATCTCACGGAAGTAGATGGAGCATCTGTAGTTGACCCAAAATGGGCTTTAAGGAGGACAGAATGTGTGCAATGGGCAGCTCAATATTTTCAAATAAAATTATATTAAGGTCTTATTCAATGTTAGTTTATAATGTCTTGAATTTTAAATAAGATATTAGATGGTTTTATATGTCATTAATATGATTTTTTTTTGTATGAAAAAATCATCTTAAGTTTAGCACACCAAAGTTGAAGTTGAGAATACCAAGAAACATATAATTCAAGTTGGCAAGTAGACGAAATTCCGTGATATCACGTGGTCCTCGTGATTTCTTTGAAATAAATGAAGTACGAAATAGAATTTTTTTATTTTTTCAAAAACCACAAAATCAAGAAATCACTTAGGTTTCCTTGTTTTATAACATCCTATCTTGGAAAAAGTAGTATCAACCATACCAGCACCACCCCTCTTTCTGGGACTACGTCCAATTTTTAATATCTAGGTGGCAATTATTGACTTTAGAACTTTGTTCATAAAATCTTTATCTTTAAGTTCTTAAAAGAGACGTTTTTCAAACCCTTTAAACCATATTCGGAAAAATGTAAAGAAAAAGAAGGAATATATCTGTACGTGTAAAAGAAATTTGAAAAATAATGAGAGCGCCGTATGATATTTCAATAGATTATGTGTTAATTTTAATTAAATGTACTGCCAATCTCTAGTATTATATGTTTCTGATAATAAAAAAGGGGTAATAAAAACACAAACGAAAGACTCAACTCTCAACGAGACAACTCTCAATCAAAATTCATATGAAGTGGATGTAAAAGGTCAACAAATTCACCAACGCTAGAGTCAGAATAAATGGTTATAAAACAATAGCAACGCTAGCCTCACACTTATATGATCATAACAAATTCACCAACGCTAGAGTCAGAATAGATGGTAATAAAAAATCAGCAACGCTAGCCTCACACTAAAATGGTCATAACAAATTCACCAACGATTGTCATTATAAATGGTTATAAACATCGGTAATGCTAGCCTCACACTTAAATGGTCATAATAAATTCACCAACGCTAGTCATAATAAATGGTTATAAAACATCGACAACGCTAGCCTCGCACTTAAATGGTCATAATAAATTCATAAACGCTAGTCATAATAAATGGTTATAAAACATCGGCAACGCTAGCCTCACACTTAAATGGTCATAACAAATTCACCAACGCTAGTCATAATAAATGGTTCTAAAACATCGGTAACGCTAGCCTCACACTTAAATGGTCATAACAAATGCACCAACGCTAGAGTCAGAATAAATAATTATAAAACATCAGCAACGCTAGCCTCACACTTAAATGGTCATAACAAATTCACCAACGCTTGTCATTATAAATGGTTATAAAACATCGGCAACGCTAGCCTCACACTTAAATGGCCATAGTAAATTCACAAACGCTAGTCATAATAAATGGTTATAAAACATCGGCAACGCTAGCCTCACACTTAAATGGTCATAACAAATTCACCAACGCTAGTCATAATAAATGGTTCTAAAACATCGGTAACGCTAGCCTCACACTTAAATGGTCATAACAAATGCACCAACGCTAGAGTCAGAATAAATAATTATAAAACATCAGCAACGCTAGCCTCACACTTAAATGGTCATAACAAATTCACCAACGCTTGTCATTATAAATGGTTATAAAACATCGGCAACGCTAGCCTCACACTTAAATGGCCATAGTAAATTCACAAACGCTAGTCATAATAAATGGTTATAAAACATCGGCAACGCTAGCCTCACACTTAAATGGTCATAACAAATTCACCAACGCTAGTCATAATAAATGGTTATAAAACATCGGCAACGCTAGCCTCACACTTAAATGGTTATAACAAATTCACCAACACTAGTCATAATAAATGGTTATAAAACATCGGCAACGCTAGCCTCACACTTAAATGGTCATAATAAAGTCATAATAAATGGTATATAAAACATCGGCAACGCTAGCCTTACACTTAAATGGTTATAGTTTAATTTTGGATGTAACGCGTCTTCTGATTGGCTGACGTTGTTTTGTTTATAAGCTCATAGACATAATTTTGTCATGTGACCGTGACGTCATCAACGTTTTTTCATGGTTTACTCCGGTTTAAAATGGAATTTAGAATTAAATTATAAGAAATGACTGTAATATTTTTCTGTCTATTCGAAATAACATAAAAAATGTGGTGCACACTTTAAAATAACATGCTACGCGGGTTATTCAGTGTGCACCACATTTTTGATGTTATTTCTTCATAGACAGAAAAAATATTACAGTCATTCCTTAAATAACAAATTCACAAACGCTAGCATCTGTATTTAATTGTCATTTTAACACCTAGTCTATAACCTCAGAATTAAAAAAATGTCAAAAAATCATTAACGCTAGTAAGATGTTCTTTCCAATAACAAATACATACTTTTCTGATTGTGTCCATTTAATAGTACTGAACTAGAGATTATAGACACCACACATACAGCTTCATTAGCCCCATTTTTAGACATATACCCCGAATTACACAGCTGCGGGCATCTCAATACCAGAGTCTATGACAAACGAGACGATTTCAATTTTGAAATTATACATTTTCCTCACCTTGTCAGCAATTTACCAACCTCATACGCGTATGGAGTATACATTTTTCGACTCATGCGATATTCAGGAGCTTGCAGCTGCTACTCAGAATTTGTAAAACGTCGTCAGTGTCTGATAAAAAAAATAATGAGTTAGGGTTTTGTTCTCGTCCTTTTTCTCAAAAAGTTCATTAATACAGGATGGTCTTGAGTTAAGAGTTTCTAGGTCCTAACTCTGTGTAGAATTTTATCTACTGTACAGTTTTACCTTTATTTATTTTTTGTACTATTATGTTCCATTTGGTTATATGACTCTTGACGTGGTTCGGTATATGTGCATCCAGCTTTTAGGTTTTTGTCTTTTGGCGTTACTTGTGCGGGTGTGTCCATATATGCGATTCGGAGGCATGAGGTTTTTATACTGTTGTTTTCATTTGTTCCCCTTGTATTCATATTTAACATATTTTGTATTTTATAGGGAAAGTGTATATGTCATTATGCTTTACTTTACGGATTGTATTATCAACTACAAAAACTGTGTTGTCGTCTTTGTTTGATTTAATTGTGTGTTTGAAAATTTAATGCAATGTGTTGTATGTCTGTGATCAATGTTTAAACAGTTTTGGCTGCTGGATCTCAGTTAAGACCACGTTAACCAATTAATATGTCTGTTTGGGTTGCTCAGCCAATTTGACAAAATTACGGAACATTAAACAACTGTAAAACAAGTGGGCGTTTTAGCTGGTCAGAAACCCAGGTTTAACCCACCTTTTTCTTAGAAAATGCCTGTGCCAAGCTAGAAATATGACAGTTGTTTTCTCGTGTTTTTTTTTTAAACAATGTTTTTTTCCAATTTTTACAAAAATCATCAAGGATCTTCGTTTTATAGATATGACTGTGCATAAACATAATGGAATCAGATGAGACAATCTTAACTTTTCATACGACATAAAACTTATGCAGGACGGACGGACGGACTTATATTGTTATAGGGCAACTATAAATAATCCGATCCAATGGCATTGAACCATCATAGCCCTATCACATGACAAATAACAAAAGTGAAGCGTTATAAGTCGCGCAAATCCAATCTTTAGCTATACCAATTACAAATATAAATGGTCATGTGTGTAATATAAAGATAAGAAGATTTGGTATGATTGCAAATGAGACAACTCTCCACAAGAGACCAAATGACATAGAAGTTTACACATATAGTTCAACGTACGACCTTCAACAATGAACAAAACCCATACCGCATATTGAACTTTAAAAGGCCTCAAAATGAAAGAATGATTTGATCGATTTCGTAAGTTTATACAATAACAAATAAGCGGCAACATATCTTTCAGGATCCTCCTTACGATCATCAAATAACGGTACCCAATCTTTCACGATCAGAAATATCATTTTTTACAAATTTTCCAATTTATACAAAATTTCTGTTTAAACTAAAACAAAATAACTTTAAGAACTATTTTAAACAGTAATATGGAACGATAGTTTTAAGAGAAAAGTAGTTTATGCATTCAAAATATGAAAAAAAATTCGTTTGTTTACATTTCTATTTCTTTCAAATTTCGATGAGTAATCTGCCGTTTGTAGTTTTGTAAAAAAAAGTGTACTTTTAAACCTTGATATTTCTTGGATACTGATCATAAGGGAGCTACCATTTGATTTTTATGAGGGGGCTAGGATGAAAAATTTTGTCCTGCATTTCTTTTTAGTTGTAATCTCTGTCCTGCCTTTTTATTTCTCACTCTGTTCGGTCCTGCCTTTTTTTTTAAAGTTTATCCTGACTTTTTTTTTTTACCTAAATTGTCATCCTGACTTTTTTTTTTGCAAGTGTCTCATCCTGCCTTTTTTTTTTACTCAAAACTCCTGTCCTGCCTATTTTTTTCAAATTTCATCCTAGCCCCCCCCCCCCCCCCATAAAAATCAAATGGTAGCTCCCTAATATTGAACCATTTTGACAGACAGTTATTTTTTCACTATATTTCATTATAATTCATTAAATTAGATTATTTACTGGCGTTGCATGCGTCTTCTCGATAAGATTTCATTCACGATCCTATACCAGATCTTTCACGATCCAATCGCAATATTTGACCACCGTTACTTATTCTTTCACGATCATTTTTCTCGATATACCGAATAACAGCCGTAGTTATGGAGACAGATATCTCACTTTTGAAACACGGTCAAACTTGAAAATAATTTTTTTTTTCGGAACAATTTGGTATCCTTGGCTTTGATAAAAACTATATTACCTAACAAAATTCCGAGAAGTTCTGTAACATTAGGCCTAGTTGTTAGAGAGAAGATTTAAACAAAAAGTTTATAACTAAGGGCAGTTGGACGACGGACATCAAGTGACGGCAATAGCTCAAATGAGCCAGCAATATAACTAGCCTTGCTATTAAAAAATGGGTTTGAAGGAGTCCCGAAAACATTCGATGTTTATATTAGATAACATATACCTTAACAAACAAATTTGACA